GCCTGCGTGCCCACCTGCTCAATGGCCAGCACGGCCCTGTCCTCCGGGCGCTCGGGGGTCTGGTAGAGCTCTGTGCACAGACGAAGCCGGTTGAGCGCCATGAGCAGCGTCTCCCTGTGGAGCCCCAGGCTGTCCAGCTGCAGGGCCTTCTGCAGGTGCACCATGGCGGGCTCCAGCCGGTCCTCGTCCTCCTCGATGTGGGCCAGCTCCATGTGCACTTGGCAGCGGAGCAGGACCATGAGGCTGCGCGGGGAGAGGCGCGCGCTGAGGCCCCGCCCCAGGCCCCACACAGCGCAGCCAGCAGCTCCCGGGGCTCTCCTGCCCCCCGCTTCCCCGGTGACACCAATCGCCGGGGCTCTTCCCCATGCCCACCCAGTGGCTGCTGTCCCTGCTGGCTAAGCTGCTTCGTCTGCTGGACCCAAGGAGGGTGGAGGCACATGCACCCCAAAACCTTTCCCACCAGGCCTTCACCCCTGCAAACCCACCTGGTGAGTTAAAAGGCCCAGCTCTCACAGGCGGGGCAGGGGGTCACTCACGGAACACCAGGCCCTCGGTCTCCCCAGCTGGCCACCTCCCACCAGACGCCCGCTCCAGCCCGCGGAGGTGGCCTGGCCCCCTGGCCCTTCCAGCCACCTTGCCACCAGCCCTGTGTGGCCTCTCGCTGGACCATCGTCCTACCACCCAGGTGCCCCTGCCTGGCTCTGGCAGGTCAGCTTCAGGGGCTCGCTGGGACCCTGCACCCCTCACAGCCCCTGCAACAGCACCATCCCCCACTGGCTGGCCTGAGCACACACCACGGTCCACCTATTAAAGGTGCAAGTGGCAGCGGAGGTGCAGTGCAGCTGTAGATGCAGTGCAGGGCAGGTAGAGGTGCAGGTGAGAAGGAGTAGCTATAGGTGCAGGTGCAGGTATAGGTGCAGGTGCAGGTATAGATGCAGGTGAGATGGAGGTGCAGGGGAAATGCAGATGCAAGTGAGACGCAGGTGCAGGTGAGATGCAGGTGCAGGTGAGACGCAGGTGAGATGCAGGTGCAGGTGAGATGCAGGTGAGATGGAGGTGAGATGGAGGTGCAGATGCA